TGTGTGTGTGTGTGTGTGTGTGTGTGCGCATGCGCACACGCTCGTCCCTCACATAGACACAGACGTATGCATGCATTCCAGCTTGGTCATGGTAAGCTCTTCTACTTCTGGCTTAAAGCACCATATTTGCTATAATCATAATTATTCAAATTAAGGATTCCTTTCCCAGTCTGTGAAAATAATCCCAAACCACTTACCCAAAAAAAGAAAAAGAAAGAAAGAAAAAATTGTTTGGTTTACAAAATGCCCTGCATTGGTACAAATATTTTTTATAGATATCTTTAAAAATGTCTGAAAAACTTTTTTGACATATTCTTCAGGTTTCACCAAAAGTAATAAAGGCTCCGTATTGTGCATTCCATGATGGGCAACAAGCAATACACATGAAACTGACAGAAGCTTAATTCCAAGTTCAGTTTACAGAGAATGTGTACTTTTGCTGCACTATGCTTAAAAGTTCTAATAAAAAATTACTCTTGTTTAGCTTGGATAGAAATTGCATGTTAAACTAAATTATACACTTTAGAAATTCTCTTTACGCAAAAATAAATAATGATAATGACTATGATGATGATGATGACAATGATAATAACAATAAAACTGATAATTACCACTACTAGTATTACTACTACAAAAAAAGAAAAAGAAAAAAGGACAACAATCATATATCAGTAAGAATATAAGTAAATCCATAATAAATATAAAACACCAATAATATAAATAACATTGGCAGTAGAATTACTTCTGCATAACAATAGCTTTAAAGAACTGCCAATTCTGTGATATCTCCCTTGCCCTTCCCAACATGGATAACAAACAAGCACCTTGAAACACTATCCAATACACTGCACACGAATCATGCACTCATCTCGACTTAAAATAACAATACTGATAACATATCATGGAAATCCAAACTGCAACTACACCTAATCAAATATATTGAATTTGAGTGCAGGTCATCAGTCATCCACAAAGATGATTTATCGCAAGGATTTGTCTTGAAGGCAAGAGGATCACTGATATGTAAGCTTTGTGTGAGAATCAGTAGTAAGACAACACTATCTGGAAATAGGCCTGATTTCTTAATAAAAGGTCTATCTGTAAATCTTGCAACAAGGAATCACATAAAAAAGGTATAAAATATACAAATATAATAAAAACACAAACACTACCTACAGCATTCAGTCAGTAAATTATATTTTCCAGCATTTAAAAGGAGGTGTGTGTGTGTGTGTGTGTGTGTGTGTGTGTGTGTGTGTGTGTGTGTGTGTGTGTNTGAGTGAGTGAGTGAGTGAGTGAGTGAGTGAGTGAGTGAGTGAGTGAGTGAGTGAGTGAGTGAGTGAGTGAGTGAGTGAGTGAGTGAGTGAGTGAGTGAGAGAGAGTTATTCCAGTGGTTCCCAAACTGGAGTCATAGTGGTCTAAACACAGAACTGACAGTCTGAGAGGTAATGGTTTTATTGCTTATCCAGACAACTTGTCAGGACCAGCAGGACAACGAGAACATGTTTGGAACCTTCCAAGGCCTTCATGCCCACAATGCAACTGGTTCAAAAGCAAACATTCACTAATTCACCATACTACTGTTTTTATTTTAAATGCTGCATAGGATTTAAAACTCCTCTGATGCATAATCAACTTACCTGCAACTTGAAAACACACAAAAACAAAATTTGATAACAACAATAAAGGGCCATAAAATTACATATCAACTGCCTGCAACTGTCAATGTTTACATACAAATATTATTGTGACATCATCTTGTCCTGTTCCCCAAGCTGCAAAGCATGGTGATATGGACGAGATGACCAACTTGTCCCAGACACCAAAGTAAGGGTTCTGACAATCAAAACATCTTGTCCAACTTGTTGGAAGAGGAGTTTCAAATGCTGCATTACTTAAAAAGATAAATAAGAATATGTATATTTATAATAAGGCTACAAACCATATTTTTTAAAAATAATTCCATTTATACATTTGCATAATGACAGTACATATTTCAACTGTGAGAACAAATTGTTAAAACAAGTCTAGTAATAAAATTGGCTTATTAAGAATCCTGATCTTTCAAACCCCTGAGGTGCATGGAAAGATTCAATTCAAAAGTTAGGAACCACTGTGAGATAACATCCAAAATATTTTGTTATTTTGTATGAATAAATATAGAGAATGTACACATTCAACTTCAAAATACAATACAAAAGACAGACTTTAACAGTCAACATTAAAAAAAATTTTATGCCAAAATCATACTCAAGGACAACATACAGCCTAATACATCACTGGCAAAACAAGAAACTTACAAATAGAGGAAAAGACACTTCATGAGGCAGAAAATTGAAAGTAAAGACTCGATCCCATAACCTCATCTGTCATAATGATTCTAACCCCATTAACATAGGATTACCCTTCCTTGTACGCCTTCCAAAGAGAACGCAGTTTTGCAAGCCACCTGCAATGAATATTGGCTGGCAATGTGAACATACCTATATAACCCCTACCCAAAAAGTAATGTTGCCTAACTCTAGAAGTGTTAGCTAACTTTGATTTCGCTAAGGGAGTGTTCATCCCGCTTTATTCCATTGGGGATTAAGGGTGCTTCTCTTGGTATGCTCACTACCCCATTCAGCTGAAGTTTGTTGTAGTTCTCGTCCTTCTGGTACTTCTTTTTTCCTTCCTGGTATTTAGTGTAAGTGTACATGAAGCCTCCAACGGTGTTCATTACAATGCCTGCAAAGAAATGGATTTTTATCTATATGATTATCATTTTAATCTAGACGAAAAGTAAAATATGAGTATTTACATCCACACATCAATTATACTGAAAACTCTAGCATAAATATATATTCGAGCACCATGATAAGTACTTCTGGGATCTGCTTTCAGGTATAATAGCAATTCTGAACCTTTGCAGTCTGACAACACACTAAACACGTAGGGTAATCATGGCATGTCTTGTGTAGCAAAGGTTGAGAACCACAGTATTATAGTGTGTTCCAGGCTAGACTACATGAAGATGGGTTTGGCTAGGTTACACCAGTCTGGCATTAGGTAATATGATTTTATTCATGTATATATTCATACAAACAAAAACCTCACTTGCTCCACTACCCCTGACTAACCTGTGATGTTGAGAGGATGATACTTGACTCCGCCAAACACGAAAAATCCCACCAGCGTCTGGATCACTGACTTGGCCACAGACACGAGTGACGTGGTCAGGGCTGAGTTGAGGGCAGTACACAGGAACAAGGAGTAGTTGAGAACAGAGCCCAATGATACCAGTGTCCAGAACGTCAGGTGGAAGCCAATATCTGGGGCAAAGATCTTGTCAACATCTCCTTGAGTGATACAGTACCCAAATGTACCACTGTATCAGAAAGGTTCCATAATTTATTCCAAACTCTACTATAAGTCCAATAATACTAATGAAAAATAGCTTCTGATCATAATAACAATAAAAAAAAATAAAAAAATAAAAAAGTATTTAAATAAAACAAACTGAAAATTCTAAAATTCAACCTCGCTCACACACGAGTATTATAACGAAAAGATTAACAAACAAGCCACAGATTTTCATTTTTCCAAAAATCTATAAAAGAGACAAAACCTGACTAATCTTCCTCACGGTCTTACCAGTCAGGTATCGACTTCTGACAATGGCTTCAGGCTCGCCCATCAAGACAGACACAATGATGAAAGGTGCAAGTGTGTTGTAGCTGTTGAGCTGCAGGATCTCCAGTGTTGACAGTTTGTTCTCGGCACACTGTTGGACCAGTGTCAGGTACAATCCTTGCGCAAGCACACTCAGGCCACCCATTGTGTATGCAAAAGTGTCTATAGTGAGGTCACCCAAAGCTGTAAATCAAGAATTTTTCATGTTATTTATGTATAAAGAATAGAGAAAGATTGACAAAAAGTTACAGAGACACACACACACACACACACACAAAAAAAAAAAAAAAAAAAAAAAAAAAAAAAAAAAAAACTTTTTATATGTCATCCCAAAGAAAAAAATAAAATAAAATATATAAATAAAAAAAATCCAACTTTCTTTACTACAATATAACAATCCATAATCACATCAGCTGACACAACACCTGGCCATTAAAAAGAACAATATTTGAAAAAAGAGAAAGTCAGACCCAATGTATTGTCTATCATCACCCACCTGCCACAAAACATCCTGAGGTGATGATGAGGATGGAGGAGATGAGGGTACAGGAAGGGAATGGCCTGTGCAGGATCACCACTGATAGCACCAGGTTGACCAGGGGCGTGCATCGCTTTACCGCCCCATACATGGGGATGTTCATGCCTGCAAGAAACAAGATTGTAGCATATTAAGTATGCTATTTATGGCACAGGAAATTTATATTCATTTTTCATTTTTTGAAAAAAACAATGAAATATTTTTTTCTTTGAAATTTCAATATCAAATATTGTGACTAATAAAAGGAATATAAAAAAAATTATAAATACCAATTCTACATAATAAATGATGGATGTTGCTTTCTCAGAGACTTTGGTTGTTTATTATGATATAAGTTAGCCTGACAACAATGGAGCCCCAAACAAGTAAATGTACAATTCTATTTTCTAATTCAGATATTTATTCACCAAATGAAACCAAACGTGTGATGTAACACCTTCATAATCATACCAACCAGAAAAAAATATATAAAAAATCTAGGTCTTATATTGATCCAATGTCGCCTGGAAAATGTTGCGTTCACTTTAGTGTTGATATGTTATGTCTGCATATAGATGGTTCTGCCAGTGCTTAGTCACAATGGAGTCAATTAGTAAATCTTATGACCTCACCTTTCCTTGTGTTGGCGGGGAAAACGTTTTTGTAAAATAATGCTAACAATATTGAAACTGTTATTTTTATTATATGCCATGTAATTACTATATTGTTACTGGCATTACTAAAAGCAGCATCAAATACTAGAAAATAACATAAAAAAAAGTAAAAATAAGTGAGATAGGTACTTCTTGTAACTAGCTCATTGGTGACCTAGTACTTGTCGAGCCATCTATATGTAAAAAGAAATTACTAAATTAAACACACAGTGGGCATGGCATGTACACACATGCCATCCCTGTCAGCATGTGGTAAAGGGTATCCAGATTAGATGGTGACGGTCTCCTTAAATCGATACCAATACCAATACATGTATCACTGATACTTTGGTGTAAGAAAATATCCCATCTGATTTGTAAAAATTTGGTGTAAACAATCATCAGCAAAAGAATATTGATAACTTCCATACCATAGTAACAATAATTACATTTGCAACAGAGAGGTGCACTCATGGCACTCAGTGCATGAATTAAAGAGTACTAAAAAGCTATAAGAAACAGCATTGACATTATTAATATTGAATAACCACATAAAAATGATATCAACAGAAAAAAATCTTAAAGAGTTTCTCACCCTGAAGAGCCATGAGGGAGAGCGTGGCATGGAAGGCGTAGCCGAGGGATGGTGCAAGGAAGAGACGTGCCGATCTCCACGTGTAGTGCGGGAGAGTAACCTTTCCGAGTGAGCCCAAAACCTCAAGGAACAAGATTGTCACCATCATCTGAGGAAGAAAGTGTTTTAGCCTTTGGTCTGTCCAGTGATTTTGGACATGATGTTTCCTTTTGAGATGGAAACCACAATGTTTTTTATTCTGACATCATAAGATATAAATAGTGTCTTTTCCTATTATGAGCACCTGATAGCAATCAAATGATATTGCTTTCATTATCATACACCTTCAAATCAATAACATAACTGATTAGTTTCACCAGAGAGAGAGAGAGAGAGAGAGAGAGAGAGAGAGAGAACGAAGCTATTTACAC